TGCTCTAATGCTTCTCTGAGTAGACAAAACCACTCTGAAATGGGAACGCTTTCCTTCCCAGCAGCTTTCACCTGTTCTACCAGCTGGGAAGGCTGTGCAGACCCATTTATCACAGCTTCCATTCTCTCTCCATCTCACAACTCCAGGCAAAAGCTGGCTTTTCCAAGAGGAGGGTTGGAAAGAAACCAAGACAAATGAGCTTCTTGGGTAACAAGAAATCCAAATGTTATATTGAGGCCTCTACCAGTGATCCACACCTTTTGCACTGAAACCTCCCTTCCACAGGGGAAGAGTAGTAACTTTCTTTACTTGAAGGATGGGAAATAAGCCAATGCGTTTGTGGGAAATCCTTTCCTGAGACACCACTCAAAGCTAATGTTTTCCAAGAATCCACGTCAGATGCCAGTCCCCCACTGACTTTCAGTGGAAATGATAATTTCAGCTCTCCACAAAAAAAAAAAAAAAAAAAAAAGCCCACACCCCCAACAAGCCAACGCACCTCACCCAGAATGTCACCACAAAAAGCTCTTGTGCCTCACTGGTCTTTGAAAGTGCTTGGGTAGGAGACAGAGCAAGTCTCCACTCCAGGGAAGAGGACACTCCACGAGCTGCTAAGGAACAGGGGCTATAAATAATTTTCAGGAAAAATAACTTGGATATACTGAGCCAGCTTGTCATACACACCATAACTACATCATATATGGTCTCTATGGAAACCTAACGCCATGAATTGTGAAGTTATATATACATGCACACACAGCATCTGATATCTGTATCAGTCCCCTGTTCTGTTACACAGGATGTGAGTTTTCAAGAGTACACGGAAGTGTTTAACAGGGTCCATCTCCACCACCTGGGAAAGGAAGAGCAACGAGAGATAGGTGAGAGATGCTTGACTTTCTACAAAAGAATATGAACAGAGTGCTGGGGAAAAGAGAAAGGAGAAATCGGAGCACCTTTGTGTATTCCAGACTAATAAAGGAAAGTACATGTACTTGCACTTTTGCAGACAAGACTGATCAGTTCATGGGAAGGCAGGAGGAAGAAAGTGTAATGATTTCCAACATTCCTTTGCATCTAATGGCTGACAGCTCTCAGGTACAAATGGAGAACAAGCACCTTCTTCTGACACTCCAGCTGGAAGATACGACCGAGATGTGGGGTCTTTCTGAGCCAAGCCCAGGCTATTGGAGCCAAGAGACAGCTTGGAGCAAACAGACTGTACATTGTTACAGTTTAATTTTGCACTTCATTGGATTAATAGCTTTGTTTTGCAACTATAGTTCAAGTTTTTGAGACTTCTCTCTTCTCCCAAGGTAGCAATGCAGCTCTGTATTTTGTAATCCAAACCACACTGGTTTTCTTCCATCAAGCTGCAGGACTCAGGTGTTTCACCAAATGTGTAAAGAAACAAAGCCCCTTTTGGCATTTCTGGCAAGAAGCAGGTAAGCGGGGAGGGAACACATGAGTTCAGAAAAATGCAGTACTCTCTGTTCACCCTGGGGCCAGGCAAACCCTGACAGTCTCCCAGAAGCACTCGGTGCACAGACACAGCTCACGGAGCTCATGCAAACGGTCCAAGACAGCACAGAGCAGAGCCTGTGTTTCTGCAGGGCTTCTCAAAAGCCTCGTGTACAGCCTCCTTCATGCAACTTTTTAAGACCCGATACAAAGCTTGGTATCTTTAGAGGACCCTCCCATTCCAGCAGTCACCCAATATATCACCAGGGCTCTTTCCTGGACAGGACAGAAGAGGGAAGAAAAGCCAAAAAAGGACTTTGCAGTATTCACATTAAACACACAAAAGAAAGTTGTTTTCAGTCTCTCCATCCCTGCCACTGTCCCTCTGTATGCTAGAAAGGCTTGAATGCTGTGGTGCTGGGGAAAGCACTCAGTGCTGGCAGCACACCACCAGATCTAACAGCCCTCGGGCTGGCACATGGTTACCTCCTCTTGATCAGGTTGGGTTATCAGTACTGCCATGAATTAACTGTAGCGATGCACTTAGAGGCCAGAGGTCAAATGATGCAGGTCAGCAAGACAGAAGAGCAAGGATGGGGCAAAGCTCCACCACGTTCCTGCAGCCCAGACCTGATTAATCCCAGGAAGGGTAATTAAATCCAGTCTCCAGGACCATCTACCACCAGACCCTTTGGCTGTAGGCATCCTCAAAGTTGTCGTCAGTGCCTGCTGTGGTCAGGATTTTAGTGATGTGGACACTTGGCTCCAAAATAGAAACCACTCTGACTGAAAAAAATAATATTTTCTCTTGGAGTTTTTCCTGCCAAAGGCTGAATCCCGTGACTGACTGCGCTGCAGCTGGGCAGCACAGCCAGCACAGATGCTGCCACTGCTCTCAGAGAGACGCACACAGGCAAGTCGACAGGATTTGGGATGCACACTTTGCTCACCACCTCAGATTATCATTGGGAAGGAGAGGAGAAGGAGACAGCAAAGGGCTGGCCAGGCATTTGGAGAGATTTCCAGGAGGAAAAGCAGGAACAGGCCATCGACAAACACAGCAGCAGCTCTTGTGCAGGGGACAGAGCAAAAAGATGATGCTGGGGATGACGTCAAAGATGATGCTAGAAGCTGGGTCAACAGCCCCGTTGTGCTCTGTTCTCACCTTCCAGGTAGAAACAGCGCAGCACTGTGACTGCTCCTGCAGCTCTGCCCCTCCTGCAAAGCCCCTGTACCGTCCTGAGAGGCGGAGGAGTAGCAGCACAGCTCAGAGCACCAAGACAACATCCCAAGACTTCTCCCTTTCTCCATACACATGTTTTTCCAGGAATAAAACTCATTTTAGAACTTCTCAGGCAAAGGTCAAACTCAGTGTGGTGCAGGTTCTGCCCACGCTCACTTGGCCTTGTTGCATGTCTGTCGCAGTGATGGATGGCTGTAGCTGAACAAGGCACAAAGCAGCTCCTGCAAACAAGCGCTGCATTCAGCTGAAAGGCTGTTTTGGACCCCGGTGCCAACTATCCGTGCTGACTAACTCTTTCATACCACAACACAAGCATCAACTGTGTTTGCCCAGGCACCTCCGTGCAAAGCCTCCGAGGAGTGGACAGGCCTGGGATCTTTTCCTTCATTTTTGGGTGTTCTTTTCTAAGTGATAAAATCAACTGAAAATAACTCCATGCCACACTGCAATTATAAATCCAGCATGAAGCGCATTGAGAGGTTCACAACTGGTAGCTAAATAATCACTTCACTGGAGTCCTTCAAGTTCATGTTGCTCCTAGCAATTAGCTGTGATTGAGACAAGGGGGGAATACAGAAAGGGGTCTGGGGATAACTTCAAAATAAACCACCAAACCTATAAACCTCATCCTAAGAGTTTCCTTTGTCAATTTGCACTTCCTTCTAGCAAACAGATATAAGGAGGCTTTAGTATCTTTGATTTGGATGCTAAACTAATAAATTAGTCTAATATTTAAATCCGCTCAAACATGGAAGAGTGCAGTTCAAATGTTTATCTCTACATCTAGGGCCAAGTCCTCAGCTGAGGAAGAGCAGTGCTGCTCCACTCCCTGCGACGCTGTATTACACCAACAGATCTGGAATTCAGCCCATGTTCTCGTGCAGTGACTGTCCCCTCAAACAAGACACACATGCAGAAAAACAAGGTATAACTACAGCTTTTACAATGCTGTTCAGGGAAAGAATGTACAGGGTGGGAGAGACAATATATACACTATTGGTCACTGAAAGAAGAGAGAGCTCAGCTGAAGAAATCCATGAGCAAAGCAGAGCCCCCGATGTGTAACGATGGAGCAGAGCCAGGGTCACTCAGCAGCAAGCGGGGTCTTTGCATGAAGTCCTGTGCAGAGGTTGTGCCTGAACTGTCCTCTCAGAGGGTGAGACAAGGACATGTGCCCCAGCACAATAGAAACTTCACAGACATGGGGGTTTGTTTGTTTCCTTTCAATAAGTAACACTTCTGCACTACTCTGACAAGAGACAGCATTGTCTGGTGACCCTCATTGTTACAGACTAATTTCTCATAGCATGCTAAAGCAAATTTCATCCAATATTATCCTCTAAAGATGTTGTCTGACAGGTACAAGGCTTTCCTGCTTCTGCCAGACACTATATATTTTTGGGACTGAAACATACAGCAAAGTAAGCAGTGGCCTGAATTACTATGGGGCAAGAGGCTGACAGATCTCAAGAAGCAATTAGCAATATTATCAAACGAAAGAATGCAGAGATGATTGATAGGTTATACACCATCCTGATGCTTTTCCCCAGAACCAAGAGGACAGCCTTTTTTAACAAAGTGAAATTAAACATTACATACAAAACTCACACATTGAATATTTGCTAAATTATAGCTAACAAAAAAACCAACCCAGCAGTCAGAGAAGCCAGAAAAATGAGTCCTAAGCAAAACACATCTCAAATGCTTTGAAATGTTAATTTTACTGCATAATGGCAGCCTGTATAGCTTATGTATACACTGGATATATATCAACAGACAGTAAAGCGTGTGCATGTCTGTCTAGGTAAGTTGTTATTCAAATCCCAGTGCTCCACGTGACTCTGCTCAAAGGCACTCATTTGAGGTAATCAGCACAGGACAAATTACCTTAAGTGCCTGGTTCTCACTCTTGTGTTATCCCAGGTCAGAAGCCATAGCTATAGGACAGCGTTTAAGAAAGTCACGGGTGAGGTTTCCATCTGCCTAATTATTCCCAGCTCTTCACTGTTATTGTCTGTGCAGGCACACGTATGCAAACACGACATGAGGCAGCACCTCTGTCAGCCCTAGACACCAGAGGGTCCCTCGTCTCCCCCCCACTCCACAACCCACCTGTTTTGTGCATGGCTTGGGAAAGGGAGGCCATTTACTCACCCCATTACACTTGTTTTGATCCATGCTCCAATGCTCATGATCAATCTACATAGAGATGGGGAATTTCACATCCTAAGGCCTTTGCCTCTAAGCCAGGTGATCACCTGGGTCAGCTCATTCCCCTGATGAATCAAGCCCTTACCTTCTTTTGAACTGGTGGTGACAGCAGCTGCAGTGGTCCCTGATGCCCGTCCCACCGGGCTGGAGTGCTTCCCGGCCCTGCCGGGGATTTTAAGTCCACTTGGCTTCAGCATGTTTGCTGTCTCCTGTATCTCAGGTTTGTATTGCCAGTGTCTCAAAGAGCTGTCCTGATATCACCGCTCAGACTTCTCAATGATGGACCTCTTCTTCCATCGTCACAGACCTGGCAGAGAAGAGCACAAAGAAATCAGACAGAGAACGGGTGGGAGAGCACCAAAGAGAGGCTTCCAGAAAGCAGCGCCCAGCTCCCTCCTCAAATCCCTAGGAGGGGCAGGATCTTTCATTTCTTCTCCTGTAAAACAAGGGTGATCATTGCCTTCATCTCCCATGTTAATGTTACATTCTATTCCCCAATCTTGCAGTCTCGCTTTAACCCTGGAGTCCTGGACCTAAGCTGAAGCCTCCTAGAACCACCAAACAAGAATTTCAATTCAGTTTGTGATTGAAGTGACTCAAATTGCTGACTGGTTTTCAATTCTAAAGTCTCGGCTCGTGCATCAGCCAAGCCCCAGTTCTGCTGCTCTGCGAAGGCACTGTCAGAGCCCCCCCAAAAGCCATGCTAATGACCCCCAGCACCAGGCTTTTGGTGTGTGGCCCCCATTTTCACCAGACCCCAGGGCAGCCTCTCTAGACTCACAGGAAGAGTCATCCAAGATGGGGCTTTTCATCTCCCTTCATTAAGAAGAAATTCAAAACCTTGTTACAGAAAAAGGGCATCTGACCCCATGGATTTGCAGTAACAGTGAAAAAAGCTTTCCAAAATCTAAGCATGACTCTCTACCAACTACCTGTCAGTGCAGTTACACAACTCTTCCCCTATGCCATTCCCTTCCCAGTAGGTAAACAGAATAAAACGTCCAAATCTCTTGCAATCACGTTGCATTAAGAAGCACACAACTTCTCAAGCAAAAAGTTTTATAAGAAGAAAAATGAAGGAAATGACTAAGTTGCTTTAAAAAAATGCAAAAACATTCCTAATGGATAAAGAAAAACAACAAAAAAATTGAGACATTGAGCCAAAAGGAAGCCAAGGCTGGCTGATGGAGCAGGCTGGGATGCAGAGGGAAGAAGGTAGCAGCAGAGTGAGCCAGGGATGATGCCGAGACATAACGGTGGAGGGAATTGCAAGGACAGCAAACCAAGGACCAGCCAGAAGCCAGGGGACACCCAGATCTGCTTCACGGGCCAAGAACGGAGGCAGCCTGCTGCAGGCAGCACTCTGGAGAATTAACGTAGCGAAGATTTACAGATGCCATGAGGGGGGAATTGCAATAGCGGCGACAGGAAGTGATTAAGGCATGAGTAAGGATTTCAACACAGGCTGGGTCAGAGCGAGGAGAGGGCTGGCAGTGCTCCAGGGAAAGCTGCAAGCAGACACAGAGGAGGAAAAACCACAAGGAGAATTCCAAAATCATATTCCTGAGGGCTCACAAATATCTGAGACACCAAAGAGTGTTTCAGTCATCCCACATTGGCTTAGAGAGACAAAGAAAGGAGGGATTGGCACAGACAGCCTGGGGAGGGAGCCAGAGTGAAAACCCAAGGGATCCAGTCCCATCTCTTCCCTACATCCCCCCCAAAGGATGTGCAACACCTGGGGTGGCTTCAGACACCTGCAGACAGCACCAACTGGGGAATATTTAGCTTACAGAGAAGTCAGGGCTGTTCAGAAGAAGTGGGATGCTCAGATCACATCACCAGAAGCAGGAGCAATGGACAGGAGGCTGCGGTTTCCAGCTCTATTTATCAGAAAATAGGGAGACAAGTAACAGAATCTGGAGGTGAGAAACACTGATCAGCCTGGTTCCTCCTATTTGTCAAACCACTAGACATCTCCCTCCCACCCACTCCATCTCATATGACACATTTTTGCCCAGGGCTAGCTTTGATTTTACAGAGCAATTCCACTTCTAGCACTTCTGCTGGCAGGTGATGTGCTCTACCAAGAGATCTCGCCACATCTCCATCATCTTCAATCTGAAGGTTTGCTCTCTTCCCGATGTGCCCTTACTCCTAGATTTACACATCTCATCGCCCGCTCCTGCCTTTTGGTTACAAGGCTTGATGCTGCACTTGCAATTAAGCAAGCTGGGGATGCTGGTCCTTCCAGATAAAACATTATGGCTTGCTGAATCCACAACCAGGAATGCAGATGGGGGAAATGATAAAAGGACGCAGGGGAAGGATAAAACAGCAGCAGGGAAGGATTTAAGCAGGAAAGGGTGCCAGAAGAATAAAAATATTTTAGTTTTTCAAGCCTCTGTTAGAGGGAGTCTCTGGATCCCTAACTTTGCGGCCAGAACCACATAAGCTTTAGGGAGACAGTGAATTTAGTCTGTTCCTCTAGTTTGCTGCTCATCTGTAAAGAAATGAGGATCTGTAAAGAATGAGGAGTTTGTTCTCCATCCACTATTCATTATCCCTGAAGATCAGCTGGCCACACAGGTCACAGGGTATTGTGATATCCTGCTCCCTCTCTGGATGACTGGATTTTATTTTTATGCAGGGGGGGAGAAATAAGAGGAAGTGCATTCCCACTGCATAAAGATTTCCGCCAGAAACCTTTATGCAAAAACATTTGTTTTCAACATAGTAATGCCAAAAAGCAAATGAACTCTACAACCTGCTAATTAAGCTGCCCTCCAAACAGATAGCTTCTTTTATCCAGAAATACAATCACCACAACTAGTTCACAGCCATGCTCCCTGGGGGCTCCACACCACTCACTGGATTAAAAAAAACTTTCTCAGAGCCACCCTGCACGGCAGCCAGATTCCCCTTGCTGCAGGTCGGTTCATAGGAAAGTCTGACAGTGGTTAACTCATATCTCGGAAGTTCATTCTCATCTCCAAGAGCTGCAGACTGACCAAAGCCAAGAAACAGGGATGAATACCCTAGCATGTACCTGGCACACTCACCATCACACAGAGAAATTAGAATGATTTTTTTAAATCTATTAAATATTAATTTTTTAAAAAATTAATCAAGTTACAATTTTTAACTTTTTAATTTTAAAAAATGTTGTTGCAAATGCAGCTTGTAAGTAATATACACATAAAAATAACTGCCTATGATTTTTTTGTTTAAGAAACCTACCACTGCTGCTAGGGACAGATACTCCCACTCAAGTTGCTCCCCAGCTGCAACATAAAAAAATATGAGCAGATTTTCAGGAAGCTCTGACCGGGCACACCATCAGGTTATGTTCACCACCCAGACCCATCCAAGTCCCACGGTAGCTCCTAACCAAGGGATGCAGCTTTTGTGCTGCAGAAATATCCCCAGCCTGGGCCATCAGCCAGTGTCTCCACAGGGCACTGCCCTGCTCCATTAGAGATAACAACTTGCTCTGAGCTCCTGTATCATACCCTCGGCATCCCAACAGGCTCCACTGACAGAGCCCTTCTGAGAAATCTATTTCCATCAAGCAGATGCTGAACACAGGCAAATACGATGCCACACATGGTGTAAGAAACATGTGAGCCGTTTTCTCTTTCCTACTGCCTACCTACACAAGCTGTAAGCTTTGTCTTCCCATATAACTTCACGAAAATATGACTTTCTGCAGACACGCTGTAAAAAAACTCCATCAGCCCCTGTGGATACTCTGGCACCACTAGCTCTGCTCATTTTATTTTTCTTCTTTTTCCAAGATGACACAGATTACAAGGATTTTCTAGATATCCACTAGATTCTTCCTGCAATCTTTTTTTCATACTGGGATGAATAGTTCTGTCTGTTCCCACACCAAGAAAAGCATCCCAGGAATGCACAATATGAAAGCCTGCTTCAAATGACCAAAACATTCTGTTCTCCATCTTTCCACCAGAAAAGGGGACAGCTGGATCTGAGTCACCTAGGCTCCGATTCAAAAAGGAGAACAGCTCTCAACTAAGCACAGATGTACATCCAAAAATTACCTTTCCCCAGAGCAATATATCTGGATATGCAAGTACCCACAACATTGGCCAGGCATCAGAACAGCACACATCAAAAACAGGGAAACAACTCGAGGTGCATAGACTTCAATTATTTCTCAAACATGGTAGAGGAATAACACAAAACAAGGGTTGGAAGCAAAAAGCCTTTGTCAGTCTTGGCACTAGAGCTTATCTGCAAGTTTCTCCACTTCATCCATCCCTCCCACCCTCAACAAGGCACACGAGCACTTGTTTGCACACGGAATACCATCCCGTTCAAGACAGACACGAGCAACAAAGCATACTGCCAGATTCAGCACGCTGCCCAGCAGAAAGCCCTCGTGGGTACATGCCAATGGAAGGATCTGTTCACCTTGACACACTGAGTGAAACAACTGCAAGACACAGGAACAGGTTTCCAGACACCAGATTGAGCTGGCCTGAATCCCACCCTCTGCCTGGTGCTTCCTTCTGGATGGATCTAGATGTAAGAAGTGTTTACCCAACAGGAAACCCCAGGCAAGGCACTGGGATTTTGCTGTGAATGCAGACCTGAGTGGAATTTAGACTGGCTGTATCTGAACACTGCTGTAAAAATTGTGTATGTACAATATTTTGTGGGGAAATAAATCCTTATTGCTTAAAATTAAACATACAGCTAAAAAGCTAGTACAAAAATTCGGGTTTCTAATTTTCTGATTTTGGAAATCCACATGCATGAAATTAAATTTCAAGTTTGCAGCCAGTCATGCTCACACCTTTTCAGGACAAGGGCCCATAAAAAAAACAAAGAATAGTATCTAGTCACCGGACTGAAGGAAATCAAGGTTATTGTGTTGTACAGAAGGTTAATGACAAGCAAAGACAATGCAGAAAAGCAGTAAAACTTCTTTTTTTTGTTCAGAAGAGTTAAACATAAAAACAGGAACTTAATTTTCTACTCATGTTCTGGCTTTTTATTTCAGAAAGAGCACAGAGCCTTGAGCAGGCCTCTGGGTTTGGTCTCCCAGCCTCTGTCATTCAAGAACTCTGGGACTCTGGACAAGAGTGACCCTACCTTAGCACAACTGCCGGCTCACACCATTCATTCTCACACGAGTCTCACTCCCCATGCAGAATCTCCCACTGAAAAC